GATAACACACAACTTATGGAGGGGCAGGAAGCTTTGGGATAAAGCACAGGAGGAAAAACCCAGGCAGGGAGGTTTGGGCAGAGACTGTTTGGCATTCATTGGAAACATCGCCTTTCCATTACACAATGACTTCCACTGGTATTTGAAGCTAGTTATTAGTGTGCCCGGTGAGCCATGCATTCCTGAGGTAGTTCAGTGTTTTTAAAATAAAGTCTGAAAGCTTGATCTGCTTAGTTCCACTAAACTGCTGTTCATATTTTTCTGAAGACGCTTTAGCAGAGCCTGTCTTCATTTTGTGAATACTAAACTGTAAACAGTGTTCTCAAAGCAAATACACATTTTTAGAATTTCTGTATTTGATACTTGAAAAGTTGGAGTGGGGAGAGAGATCTGGTATTTATGATTCATTGGAGGGAGAAACCCCTCCTCTCATTTGAAAAATAGAACCACATATTTTCTGTATATGTATTTCTTTTTTTTTTTATTTTACCTTCCTAGCCAAAGATATGCACCTGTTCATATTATGGAAATAGGTGTTAACTTTCTCTAACAATAGAAAATGATATTTATGTCAGAATTCCTAGATTTCTAGTTTTGGGTTTTGTCTCCTCCCTTAAGTTTCTATCCTGGTGTTTTTTCAACCTTTTTTTTTTTTAATCTCGTGGTACATTTGAACCTATAGTTTAACTTCTATGGCACACTTAAATTGTGTTGATCAAAAAAAGAGTTAAAAGGAAAAGAATATACTTACCATGCTTTGATCTTCTTTCTAAGATAATTAATGATCTTTAAAAATTTTCATGGCACACCTAAGATCCTCTCACAGCACACCAGTGTGCCGTGGCACACTGGTTGAAAATCAGTATACTATACCTTTATTTTCAAAAAGTATGCTTTTCCTAGTTTCCTAGAAAACTACTTATACCCCCAAGCCCTACTTCCTTTTGCAGACTTAGAGGGTCAGCTCTCTTTTACATTTGTGTTTTATTTGTTTTTGAGACAGAGTCTCACTTTGTCACCCTTGGTAGAGTGCTGTGGCGTCATAGCTCACAGCAACCTCCAACTCTTGGGCTCAAATGATTCTCTTGCCTCAGCCTCCCAGGTACGTGGGACTACAGGCGCCTACCACAATACCTGGCTATATTTAGAGAGGGTCTCCCTCTTGCTCAGGCTGGACTAGATCCCAGAAGCTCAGGCAATCTACTCACCTCGGCCTTCCAGAGTGTTGGGCTTACAGGCGTGAGCCACCTTGCCTGGCCTTTTTGCATTTGCTGATGGACTGAGACGACATTACACTATCACAGCTTAGAAACCAGTTATCTTAATATGGTATGAATTTAGTATATTCACATGTGGCTTTCAAAATAAGGGTCAGGTAATGTCATCTGTAACCTGACTCCTAAATAATGAAAACACAGTATAAATCTGTAAGATGGTTATTAACTTGGTCATTGATAATTTTTGTATTTTTGTATTTTTTTTTTTTTGGAGACAGAGTCTCAGTCTGGCACCCTGCCATGGTGTCATAGCTCACGGGGACCTGAAACTCTTGGGTTGGAGTGATCCTCTGGCCTCAGTTTTTCTATTTTTGTTAGAGATGGGGTCTTGCTCTTGCTCAGGTTGGTCTCGAACTCCTGAGCTCAGGCAATCTGTCTACCTCAGCCTTCCATATTCATTATTTTTGTTATAAAAGAGATCTGCTGATACTACATATTTCATTGTCTTCTCATACTAATACATGAAAAATAAAAACATTTAAGTTTGCATTTTGAAATGACATACAAAGAACCTCAAACTATTATATCTTGTAATATAAATATTACAATAAAGCTATCTCAAGTAATGTTTTTCTCTTTTTACTATATTTTCAAAGCATATAACTTTTAAATTTTTTAATGTAAAAACTTAGTTTTTGAAGAAGTACACACCTGTGAAATTTTTTCAAAGCATAAAAAGGTATACAGTTATCTTTCCTGATCCCTGTCCACACGTTTGCTACCCCATTTGTATGCTCATTTTGTTTTTCATATTTACACATTATGTTGTATGTTTTTCTTTATACTCAGAGTGTCCTGGAGATCATTTCATTATCAGTATAAATGAAGTTGGAATTGACTCATTCTTTTATTATGGTAGAATCCTTTTACATTATACTACAATTTATTGAAGCAGTTCTCTGGTTTTGGATATGTAGGCTTTCTTCCCCAGGCTTTTACTAAAGCAACTTTACAGTTAATATCTGTATACATAGGGCACTTCATACGTGCAAGAATTATCTGTAAAATGAACTCATAGACATAGAATTGATGGGTCAGCAAGTATGTGCAGTTTTAATTTTGATATTGCCAAATTGCTGGCTGTTGAAGCTGCACAGTTTATTCTCCCACTAGCTACGTTTGAGAGTTCATTCTCTTGATAGAACAGAACAAACAATCCTTGCTGATCTAATAAACAGATTTTTAAGTAGTACCTTCTTTTGCTTTATTTTTTGTATATCCTGAGGTTGAACATTTTTTCATACACTTAGTGGTTGAGATTTCTTTTCTGTGAATTGTGTGTTCATGTTCTTTGTCTATTTTTCTGTTAAGCTTTGGGTCTTTTTTATTAGTGGGAACCCTTCCATATTAAGGAAATGAGTTCATTTTCTGTACCGTGTTGCAAATATTTTCTCCAGGTGTTTGTCATTTGGTCATTTACGGCATGTGTTATAGTGCAGAGTGTTTTTATTTTTATATTGTCAAATATATTAGTCTTTGATGGCTTCTGGGTTTTGTTTCAGATTCAAAGCCTGTCCCGTCTCTGAAATTAAAAAGAAAAATTCATATTTTGTTTGAATACTTTTTTTGATTTTGCTTTTTATGTTTAAGCGGGCTTATCTTTGTTGATAAAAAACATCTCAAATGTTAATGTCCCAAACACCATTTTGGTTTTCTCCTAACGCTTCTGCTGTTTAGTTGTAGGACGGCCTAATAGACTGTAGATCCAGACACAGGATCAAATCACAGCTTTGCTACCTAACTGCAGTGTGAGATAGACTAATGTATCTTAAGTCTCTGTTTTCTCATATGTAAAGTGAGGACAGTTATACCTGCCTCTAGAGTAGTTATGAAAATCAGAAGAGAATGTATGTATTAATTAAATTCTTATAATAGAGTATCATAATTAATAAAGCAGTATGCATTAGTTCTCTTTCTTCTTTTGACCTTGGTGTCAGAGTGATGGGAAAAAAATTTACGGAATAGAATCAGTTGATGATTAAAATCATTTTCCAAGTTATCTCATAAAATCTGTGCCTTAGCGACACTTTTACATTACTAAACAAGTCTCTGATGTAACTGTCCATGGCATTTTTTATAATTAAATGGTAGCATTTTCTTTCCAAAGAGGAAACAACTGCTGGTTTATATGTTAAAGCAAGAAAGCTACACAGTGGCATGTGAATAAATTTTCTTTTAAATTCTTTCTCCATAAAAAGAAGTTTAGAAAATACCTCTTCTTATTTTGCCCCTTTCCCCATTACACCGTCTGATATTGTCCAGATTGCTGTGGATCTTCTCACCAAATGAGTTTTGTATCTCTAAGTTAATTTTCTGCCAGAATCACTTCAGGCTGATGACTATGGTGTTTGTGTATCCATTAAGCACACTGCCAGGATATGTCCACTACTTTCTACCTCTCCCATTAAACAGCTGTCAGCCAGTTTACAGAGCTACTCCCTAGCTCTGCATTAATTGTAGGGAGCCATGGTATGCCATGTAAAATGATGTCTGAAGGAGTTATGTAGAGCTGGCTTAGATATCTATCACAAGGTAAACATAAATTCTGCCATCATGGGGTCAAATTTATTAATGTTTTATACTTGCATAAATAGAAAAGATATAAAAGGAAGTTAATTTTTAAAATTCTGTCACTTGGTTAACCTTTCCTTTTCTTCATTAAACAACCTCCAACTAGTAAAATTCAACAATTTAGAACAAGCACATATCAGAGGAATCTTGGGTAAAAAGCTCTCATTAAAGTTGTATATGGCACCCTGCTGAGCCTTACAATTGGTTTTTGAAATGAAAATCGGTTAGAGTAAACATTATCCTAGCTGCTGTGATAAATAATGTGGAGAAGATTAATGATTGTCTGTGAAAGCCAGTGAGCATTAAGTCTGCTAACTGTGCCCTTTTTAAAAGGTGGAGGTGAGAAAGGTAGCAGGGAAAAAGAAAGGATCGAGCTTATCTTCTTTATATGAATTAGTGATTTCCCTGGGTAAAACCAAAGAAGCTTTAAATTTCAACAATATCCCCGAGGACTAGAATTTTTCATTGACTAGCAATAGTAAGGTGGAACCTGGGAAGGGGAGGGGGGTGAGGAAAAAACCACATTCTTCATGTAACATTAATGGCCCTCTCTTATTCACACTGTAGTTTTCTTTTTCCCTTTTGCTGAATAAGTTGTGGTTTTCTAATTTCTTCTCTGGGGCAAGTGTCTGACAATACATGGGTGGAAAATTAGTGATGATAGAGTAAATGCCTTTCCTCTTCACACATTGCATGCATCATTGGAAGTAAAACTGAGCAGGGCTACTCTTAGAAGCTTGGATTTTAGGGGCTGCCCAAGATTGTCCCTCCTTTCTCCATCAACCACAAATCCCTTTGTTTTCTGAGACCTTCTGTGTGAGGCAGGGAGAGTGGTACCAGCACTGTGGTGTTAAATAGTGCCCTGATAGAGAAAGAATGGCTTAGATGGGTATTTAAGGAACTATCAATACTTAAATATAGGTTTTTATATCACAGCAGACTTAGAATGATATCAGCACCAATCTATTCTGTGATTTGGAAATCAAATCCAGTATCAGAACCAAAGTGAGATTTAAAAAAATTTTTTTCCAGTATTTTATTAGGCAATTTTTTTAAACATACAGTACAGTAATTCTTTCAATTATACAGAATTATACAATGATCACCCATGTATCCACCACATACATTTTTATAATTTTTTTCTTTTTCTTCACATGTAGAAAATTTGTTCATAGGGAGGCCACAAGTTTTGCGCTCCTCATCACAGTGATCTCAGATTCCAGTTGGGTATGTTATAAATAGCGGAGCCATTTTTCAGGCCCCTTGTTTTGAGCACATGCCTTCAAAGTTAATTTTTTTTTTTTTTTTGAGACAGGGTCTCACTGTGTCGCCCCAGGTAGAGTGCTGTGACATCACAGCTCACAGCAACCCCAAATTCTTGGGCTTAAGTGAGTCTCTTGCCTCAGCTTCCCAAGTAGCTGGGACTACAGGGGCCTGCCACAATGCCTGTGTTTTTTGTTTTTTGTTTTTTGGGGTTTTTTTGGTTGTAGTTGTTGTTTGGCAGGCCCAGGCTGGATTTAAACCCTCCAGCTCCGGTGTATGTGGCTGGCGCCCTAGCAGCTGAGCTACAAGCACTGAGCCTATTGTATTTTTTTAAAATGTGATGTCTTGTAAATTCTTGCTATTCAAAGTATGCTCCTCATTACCTGGGAGTATATTTGAAACGCAGAATCTTTGGCCTTTCCCTAGACATGCCAAAAGTCAAAATCTATATTTGAATAAGACCACCAAATTACTAGAATGCACATTGAACTTTGAGAAGTTCTGCTGTAACCATAGCCTGCTTTTCTAAAATTAGCATCTATTATACTTTTACTGTTGTCCAAAGTATACAGGATGCTTTTTTTTTTTTTTTGAGACAGCTCCTCAAGCTATCCCCCTGGGTAGAGTGCCATGGCATCATGCTCACAGCAACCTCCAACTCCTGGGCTCAAGCGAGTCTCCTGCCTCCGCCTCCCAAGCAGCTGGGACCACAGGCGCCCACCACAGCGCCTGGCCATTTTTTGGTTGCAGCCATCGTTGTTTGGCGGGCCCGGGCTGGGGATTCGAACCCGCCACCTTAGGTGTATGTGGCTGGCGCCTTAGCCGCTTGAGCCACAGGCGCCGGGCCCAGGATGCTTTTCAAAAGAAAAAAAAAAAATGCCTTTTATTTTACCAATAGGAAGCTTGATCATGATTTTAATTTCATTGCAATGGCACACTATTTGGTGTTCTTTCTGCTTCTTCCTGGAAATGCTATTTATAAATGCAGTTATTTCTACCTAATCTCTTCAAGAGATATAAGTCAACTCTTAGCTGGTCTTTTGATACCATTGTAGTAACAACAGCTACCATTTATTAAAAGTTTACTGTGTTGGGCGGCACCTGTGGCTTAAGGGATAGGGTAACAGCCCCATATGCTGGAGGTGGCAGGTTCAAACCCAGCCTCAGCTAAAAAAAAAAAAAAAAGTTTACTGTGTTGCAGACACTATCCAAAGTTTATAAAGGTCTCTGATTTGATTCTTAAAATACCCTTTTCCTCCTCCTCCCCCTGCCTCCCTTTGTTTTTTTCAAATGAGGAAGTAGGCTCAGAGAACTTTAATGTGACTTGTTCAGGATATATTCAGATTGATTTTGAGTTCATACCTTCAGCCAGTGTGTTTTTCTGTTCCTTTGCTTTTTGGTCAGAATTTATCTAAGGGTAAAATATATAATTTTTACTAATTTGTAATATGTACTTGGTTTATGATTATTAAAATCTTATGGGGCACAGCACAACTTGATTTGGGGGGAAGGGAAGGGCAATATCTTGCTTTTTTGCCTGGACATGAGGGCAATAGCATGATTATGGCTCACTGCCACCTCAAACTCCCAGACTCGAGATCCTCCTGCCTCAGCCTTCCGAGTAGCTGGAACTATAGGGGCACATCACCACACGCAACTAATTTTTCTAGTTTGGATAGAGATGTGGCCTCACTGCGCTGCTCAGGCTCACCTTGGACTCTTTAACTTAAAGAGATCCATCCTCCCACCTTGGCCTCCCAAAGTGCTAGGATCACAGGCTGAGAACTTGATTTTAATGGCTTCAGACTGGAATAAGGATTCTAGTACAATTTTGCCACTGACTGTCTTGATGACTCTTACTTTCGTTGGTTATATTTTTTTCTTATAAACTTGGGGTATTACTGCTAACATTTACTAAGACATTTTAATAACAGCTGGCAAAGTGGCTCACACCTGTAATCCTAGCACTTTGAGAGGCCAAGCCAGGAGGATTGCTTCAGGCTGGGAGTTCAAGACCAGCTTAGACTCCACAAAAGAAAAAAAAAAGTAAAATAAGCCAGGCATGGTAGTGTGGCCCATAGTCTCAGTTACTTGGGAGGCTGAGGCAAGAGGATTACTTGAACCCAGGAGTTCAAGACTGTATTACACTAAGGTCTGTGAATAGCCACTGCAACTCTAGCTTAGGCAGTATGGCGAATCCCTATCTCTGAAAAAAAAATCTTTAAGCAGTTAATAACATTGGCCAAGTGTAGAAAACACTGGGTTTAATATTTTTTTCTGCAGAGTAGAATACTGATTCAACCTAGCATTTCCACTGCTAGGCATTGCAAAGAATTGAAAATAGATACATAAACAAGTGCACATACACCTATACGTTCACAGCAGCACTACACACAATAGCCAAAAGGTGGTAGCAGCCTGTATGTCTGTCATTGGATGAATGATTAAACAACTTAAGGTATGTCCATGCAATGGAAAATTATCCACAAAAAGAAATGAAGTGCAGTTACATTCTACACTGTGAATGAACCTCAGAAACATTAATGCTAAGTGAAAGAAGCCAGATGGGAGTGGTCACTTACCTAATGATTCAGCTTGAATGAAATACACAGGATAGGTAAATCTTACAGAGACAGACTCAGATCGGGAGTTACCAGAGACAGTGGGTAGGGTGAACAGGAAGAAGGTAAGGTATTAGGTATTAGGTTGGGTTTCCTTTTGGTGGGATGAAAATTTTTTGGTACCAGAAAGAGGAAGTGGTCACACAATGTTTTAAGTGCACTAAAAGCCATTGAATTGTTCACTTTAAAGTAGTTCATTTTATGTTATATGAATTTCACCTTAACGTAAGTTATATGTATTTTCATTAGTTTTCCTTTTTGGATCCTTTAGTGTATTTGATGCACATTCACATGTCACATCATCATTCTGAGAGGTAACTCTTATCAGATTTCACATGTTTACTAGATTTTAATATTGGACTCATTTATTACATTCTTTTATTTTAGTAGTAAGTTTCCATTTTCTAACTTAAGGTTTAGTAGAGTTACTGTAAAAATGGCAGCATTAAAAAGCCATTTTTCCCTCCAGGAATTCACAAGTCACGTATTTCATAAGGGGACATTACTAAGGAGAGACAAAGTTATTTTTTTGTTCATATCAATACATTTCTCAAAATTCTTTATGGTGTTTTCACCTCTTAGGAATTAAGGAAGTTAAGGAAGAAAAGTGGTAGTTTATGTACATCCAATGAGGAAGAGAATTTCTCTAAATGCTTTTATTTTTTTGAAACTTGAATTAACACTGGGGTCAGATTACTATAAAATGTGTATGAAAATAATAGCATCTTGTGAATTTTCTGTCTATTGTGTTCTTATGATATCCTTAATTATGCTGAATTTGTGGTATTTATGGCTACAAAGCATTAGCTTTTAAACAGCAGATTAATCTGACAGATAACTTATTCATCTTTCAGCCAGTCTCATCTATATAGGGAATATTATTCAGCCATGAAAGGAATAAAGTACTGATATATTCTATAACATGGATGTATTTTGAAAATATTATGCTACATGTAATAAACCAGGCACAAAAGACCATATAGTATATGATTTCGTTTATGTGAAATGTCCAGAAAAGACAAATTTATAGGGACAGAAAGTAGAATGGTGTTTGCCTAGAGTTTAGAGGGGAGTTGGAGGAGAATGAGGAGATCACTGCTAAATGGGTACCTAGTTTCTCTTTGGGGTGATGAAAATGTTCTAAGATTGCTTGTGGTGATGGTTGCACAACTCTGTGAATACAATAAAGCCCCTTGAACCCCTGAATTATATTCTTTAGATGGATGAACTTTATAGTCCATGAATGTTACCTCAATAAAGCTATTACCAAAATAAATTATTACTTTAAAAATATTTATTTATTATTGTTTGGGATTCATTGAGGGTACAAAGAATTAGGTTATTACACTGATTGCGGTTGTTAGGTAAAGTCCCTCTTGTAATTATGTCCTGCCCCCAAGACGTGTGCCCTACATCTTAACACCCATCCCCACCCCATTCCCCTACCCGCTTCCTTTGTATTAGATCATGTGTTGCCTTCATATTAGAATTAGAAAAAAATTACTGAGAAATCATTTTCCAGATCCATTTTAAAACCCAGTTCTTCAAAGAAATGTATTAATCTTTCCATTCCCTAAATACTCATGAATCTCATTTATACTGGATCATTTTATACTGGAAACATCATTTTTATGGTCTTTTTTTTTTCCTTCTGGAAACAAGAGTCACTCTGTTGCCTCAGTGAGAGTGCCATAAGGTCAGCGTGGCTCACAGCACCCTCAAACTACTGGGTTCAAGTGATCGTCTCACTTCAGCCTGCCCAGTAGTTGGGATTATAGGCATCTGGTAGACACCCAGCTAATTTTTCTAATTTTAGCAAAGACCAAGTCTTCCTCTTGCTCAGTCTGGTCTGAGCTCAAGGGATCCTCCTGCCTTGGCCTCTTAGAGTGCTAGGATTATAGGCATAATCCACTAGAACTGGCCTGGGTCTTTCTGTATGAATCCTGATTTTCCGATCTAAAGTCCTGTGACTACTACTTCTTTTGTCCCATGTTTAGCACCGTGATCAGAAGCTTTTTACTCACAGAAGACATCAAGAAATGCTTGGTGGCTCGGCGCCTGTGGCTCAAGCGGCTAAGGCGTCAGCCACATACACCTAAAGTGGCGGGTTCGAATCCCCAGCCCGGGCCTGCCAAAGAACAATGACAGCTGCAACCAAAAAATGGCCGGGCGTTGTGGCGGGTGCCTGTGGTCCCAGCTACTTGGGAGGCGGAGGCAGGAGACTCGCTTGAGCCCAGGAGTTGGAGGTTGCTGTGAGCATGATGCCATGGCACTCTACCCAGGGGGATAGCTTGAGGCCCTGTCTAAAAAAAAAAAAAATTAAAGAAATGCTTGGTAACTGTAGAAGGTCTTTGATGTTGCTTAATCAGCTTTGAGCCTTATGCATCAAATTATAGATTCTGATAACAGTTATTGTTTGTAATATTTTAGAATTTCTTGTGGTAGGTGTTATGGTTCTTTGCATTTTAGTAAAATAATTTTATGTGTGCGTGCAGTTCAATACTAGATAACTCCCTCAAGGTGTGAGTACTCTATTGGAAAACAAATTTAGTTTTAGTTCTCAACCTGCATATCAGCTAGTTTGCTTTCTTACAGATGAAATCCCAGGTTTAAGTTTTTGAATTGATTAGTGTTTACTCAATAAGGAATGAATTTACTGACTTCAAAAAAGTCAATAAATTTCAATTCCATTTCATAAATAGTTCCCCCAGTCCAAGAAGAGAGGCCTTCAGAGCCTACACAGGGCTCTAAGGATATGGACGCTAGTGATAGGTAATGAACAGTTAGCTCAAGTGAAATGGTGTTGTCATGTGGTTACAAACATCTGTTAGTCCTTCAAAACAAAGTATAGTTAAGAGAATAGGTTATAGTGATTTTCTACCATGTCACTCTACGTCTTGCTTTTTAAAATTTTTCTCTCAAATATAAACTTGGCAAGCCTTTTAAATGTGTCATTGTTGACAAGTAGTCTTTTCTTATTTAGTCCTTGTTCAGAAACCCCATGCTGGATTTATGAAATCTTTAAGGTCCTCAAAAACCACAGAGCTTTGAATAGAATATGGAGATATCTTTTTTTCAAGGTTAACATTTCCTTTTGTAAGTATATTTTAGGCAGCAGCTTGCCCTTCTAAAAGTACTTCTTTTATAATAGAACATTTTTAATAGAATATATTGTTTGGCTGCCTTGGAATTAAGTCTATAAAATATTAATGAATGTACTAAGGCTTGAAAAACCCAGCAGTGTGTGTAACTTATCTAGCTTTCAGTAGCTCAAAGAGAGTGTAGCAAGGAATCAAAGCAAAGTTTTGAAGAAAAACTGTTCTTCACAGCTGGCTGCCTTGGTAGATATAAAATATTAATATTTGTACAAAAGGCTGATGCTCTCAGAAGAGGCTTTGAAACCAATCTGGATATCTTAGGAGGATGGGAGGTATAGTAGGGTGAGTAAAAGACTGTGACTCAGCAAAACATCTCAGGGAACCCTCAGCAAGAGTCTGTGGTGGGAGGACAGCTAATTCCCTTTGAGCGCAAGCATTCCTGAAGCTCATGGCTGCCCTGCTATGGAGACATGTTGCCTCTGAAATTCATGTATTCCTCTTGTTGCAGAGACTAGGAAGACATTGCTTTTGCTTTTTATTAAGGCGGGCTTAAATATTCCCCAGGGCACTGTTTGCTCTCCCAAGTTGTCACTCCATGTAGGAGAGTCATTTGCTACCAGAATTTTTGGAATTTGTCTTCATTTCCTTGTTTCATGGGAGATTTGTAAGTCTCCTTTTAATTAATAACCAGGAAAGAACTGAGGCTCTTCCTTTCCTTTTCTCTCTTCTGTAGTTTGTGCCTCAAATTGGAAATTTAGAGTTAGGAGCATACCAGTTATATGCTATACTTTGGTAATGATATGTATTAATTAGAAAACATAGGTCTCTATCCTCCATTGTAAATTTTGAGTTGTAGCACCTAAATGTTAGGGTAGTAGATATATTATGAAAACAGTTGTATATAAATATTACACCAAATTTTTTGTTTTAGAGAAACAAATAATGTTTTGTTTTTGAGTTTTAGAGAATATCTATTTTCTCTTCAATGGTCATACCCTTAGAAAACTATGAAATCTAACATACAGCATTCTATATTCATGCTTATATTTATTGCCTAGTCAAAATGTCCTTGTTCTAAGTTAATTTTCTCAGGCAACTATAGATCAGCTTGATTAGTTTTAGATTAAGGTAATGTCCCATCGCAGTTAAAGTTTGTTTGACCTAAGATACTATTTCAGTAAAGAATTTACTTATTTGATCTCTCCTTTACAATGTGGTGGCAAAATAAAACCAAAATTTATGTGCCAGTGAAGTAAATTCTAAGTTGCAGCTTTTTGCCTTGGCTTGAAGTGATGCTATAGGATCTCAGTCTGGCTTCTGCTTTATCATAGACAAATAGATAATATTTTCCATGTAGAATTCCATTATAGAGTGTAAATAGGTGATTTAGCCTTTTCCTTTCTTTGTGAACAAAGCATGGAACATAATAGCCCAACTCCAAATAAGGTCTGTTTTCTGTGTGTAAGACATTGGTTGATGTCTTATCACATTTCTCTTGACTGTCTTGATTGAGCCTTACTTAATACCAGCACAGGTAAATTAGGAAGTCATTTAGGACCCAAATCTTTCATCTTGGACTTTCATAGCCATTTCAGTTTTATCTGAACCCCTACTTTCAGAAAATTAGGGTTAATAGAAAAGCCGTTAAAATTCAGTCAAGTTTATTTACTCATCTATCAACAGTACAGCTTTTAAAACTATTTATTGAAATATCTCCATCAAAATATATCCACAAACTATTACAGATCAGTGACCTTCTTTCTGACTATTGATCTCAGAGTATCTAGAGTAAATTCATTTTACAAAATTTCAACCTCAGGATCTCAGGAAGGGTAGATATTCTGATTTTATTATGGTTTTACATTTTGACTTTATTTCTGTATTAGCAGTATCTTTGTTATTAATTATCAACAAACAAAATATTTTAAAAATGATGGTAATGGTAATGAAATGTCATCTTTGTGACTTACCTTAACTCTTAGAGTATTCATTTGGAGCTCTCTAATACTGGTGAAACAACACTGCATTTATGGTTGTAATTGGTGTACTCTCCCTGGCAGTAATTAAGGTAAGAATATATAAGGAATATCTATATATTAAAGGGAAGATACATTCCCCTTTAAAAAACAAGGCATTATAGGTAATTAAGCAAGATTTTGGGTACTTTACACAAGGACAGACATTCAACTGGTCAATAAACATGAAAAATACTTAAAATTTTTAGTCATCAGGGTAGTACAGAGAGAGCATGAAGTTTTGATGAGGATGTGGAATAATAGGAAATCTCATGTATTTCCAGTAGGAGTGTAAATTATTGTCATATATGTTATCTTTATATATGCTATAAACACACAAAACGTTACTATTATTTTTGGTTTTAAGCTGACGCATCTTTTAGCAAGGATGTCCAACCTTTTATCCCTCTGCTGCACATTGGAAGAATAAGTGTTGACTTGGGCCACACACTAAATATATAAACACCAATGAAAGCTGAATAGCAAAACAGGTCTGTACATACTTTTCATGATTTCCAACACCACAGAGAAACAAAAGAAAGCCCTCACAGAATCATCATGCAGCCCATGGGATACAGGCTGAACAATCCTGGTTTTGAACAAATAAAAATAAGAAAAACTTGAACCTTATATACTTCCCTTATTCTGTATTTGGTGCTCTTCTTTTCTAGGTATAGATCCAAGGTTCAGGTTCCATCTGGTATCAAGTTCCTTCTGCCTTACAAAACATTTTTTAAACATTTCTTATCTTGTGGCTCTGCTGGCAGTGATTCTTTTTTTACTTTTTGGAGTCCTGGGAAAGTCTTTATCCTCAATTTCTTTTTCTTTTCTTTTTTCTTTCTTTTTTTTTTTTTTAAATAAAAAGTATGGAGTGCTTTATGCATTTGCATGTCTGTCATTCTTAGACATGCTAATCTTCTTTGTTTGGGTCCAATTTCAGTATATGTGCTACCAAAATAAGCACTTTAATTTTTAAAATATTTTTTCCTTAGGTGTAGAATTATGGATTGGCCACCCCCTTATTTCAGCACTTTAAATATGTCACTCTATTTCCCCCTAGATTTTATACTTTCTCATGAGAAGTCTACTGTAATTCTTAGCTTACTCTTCACCATGTCTTTTTTCTGTAGCTGTCTTCAAGATTTTATCTTTATCTTTGATTTTCCAAGATCTGTTTATTAATAAAGATATGCTGTGAATTTGGCATGTATCGTGTTCATTTTCTTTGAGTTTCTTTGAGATTTGATGTCTGTTAATTTTGGAAAAATTTCAGCAGTGATTTCTTTAGCTATTACTTCGGCCCATTTTCTCTCTAATATCCTCTGATATTACAGTTACTCATATGTAAGACTGTTTTACTGCCTTTGGGTGCTCTCATCTTTATTTTCCATGCTTTTTTCTTATTGTGATTAAATTTGGGTAATTTCTATAGATGTATCACCAAAACATATGAAATATAGAGAAATCCTTACCAGTCTTTACCACAGTAAAACTGACTGTGTCGGAACACAGAGAACTATTGTGCTAAACCTGTTGAAAACTAAGTGTTCAGAGAAAAGGACACATTTCATTCAAAGAAGCAATAGTAAGACCGACAGCTGATGGTTCAGCAGAAACAAGGAAATCCAGCAAGCAGTGTAAAGACATCTTTAAGAAATCAGAAAAACAGATTATAACAAACAAGGAAAATAACCTTCATAAATAAAGGAGATAAGACATTTTCATGCAAACAGAAATCAAAGGAGTTTATTGCTTGCGGATAGTTATTTTAAAAAATACATTTACAAAACAGAACTTTGGGAGTGCTGTGAAAGAGTGGAATGCCTGACAAGCTGGTAGAGGGAATGAAGAACACGGGATGAAGTAAAATAGTGGCTTACCTTAAATGAATATTGATTATGAAAACTTAACTATTCTGGTGTCTTCTGGAGCCTAAAATAGATGTAAAACCAATAATAACATAAAGGAAGGAGGGCAATACATGGAGCAAAAGGTTGCTAAGGTTCTATCTGGGATGAGATTAAAATAGTAATCTGAAAAGGAATGTGATGCATTAAGGATACAACCAATGTAGAGAGCTGTTCTTCTCAAAGTTATGTGGCCAGAATGGAACCTACATCAGAGTGGGGAACCTTTTCAAGTTGGAAGGTCACATTAATTTAGCTGTAATTAAATAAGGCTAAATTCAAGAAACTTTAATTAGATATACTTAAAAATGTACATTACTTTGTAAAAACCTAACTACTATGTACCTAATGATTTCAAAAAATGAAAACCATTTGTTAATTTTAAAATCAACTTACCTTTTATTTATTTATTTTTTTTAACTTACCTTTTAATGACTTTGTTGTATATGCTTTTTATTGGAATGTATTTAAATATTTGATTGCAGCATGGAGGTCTGTAATTCTCTGGGTATCAGTCATCTGTGACCTTTAGGGTATCTTTACTTGGGTTAGGTAGGAGAATGTAGATTCACAGCAATAACTGATTGAAAAGCAAGAAAAGTTTTTTTAAGCATGTTGCTGAAGCCATGGGTATTCTGCATTTTTCTGTATCTCAATTGGATCTTTCTTAGGATCGAACAGTGACTTTAAAAAAATGTTATCTACTTAAGAGTTTAGTTCCCTCTGTAGATTTTTAGGTGCCTTGGTGATACCAAGTAGGTTAGGCTGAAATGCTAATCTGAGTGTAGAGTAATGATTCACAAAGTCTGTAAACCTTTCATTGTATTCTCCAATTAATAAGGTCTATAGCAGCTGCATGTTCCTTAAATAATTTGTGTGTATCATTCTGCTTATTCAGTTACCTTTGCTGACTGGGGAAAATGTTCATCCAAAATTTCCTTTAGAAGAATTGTTTTGAAAAAAGCCTTTTTCAAAATGGTTGGATTTTTTGCCACATATCATAGGTAGACTTAGTATTACTTTGCAAAGAAATATTAAGTTATTTTCAGTTGACACATCAAGTGCTGCATTCCTATACAAATCTTTCAATAGTACACATTGCTGATTCTATTTTTCACAAAATTTAACTATCTGTTCTCTCAGAGATAAAATTTTGGTTAACACCTGTCCTTGTAATTGCCAGTACACTTTAGAGTGATGGCATATCCACACTGAATATCTCATCTATCTACTTCAGCGTGTTATGAAACTGATCATGTGTGTTGCATTTACACAAATATAATTAATTAACAGTACTTAGAACATATTGCAAAGTGTCACTTAAAATAATAGCTTTATTAGCACAAAGATTTTGCTGATGCTGAAGTAAGATATAGTGAAAAGAGATGAGAATGTCTGGAACTGTTAATACTTTTTTTTAATTTAATCATAGCTGTGTACATTAATGTAATCATGGGGTACAATGTGCTGGTTTTATATACCATTTGAAATATATTCATCAAACTGTTTAACATAGCCTTTCACCGCATTTTCTTAGTTATTGTGTTCAGACATTTATATTCTACACTTAGTAAATTTAACATGTACCCTTGTAAAATGCACTGTAGGTGTGGTCCCACCAATTACCCTCCCTCTACCCATACTCCCCTCTCCCCTCCCCTCCCTCTCCTCTTTCCCTCCCTCTCGGGCTATAATTGGTTTCATAGTAGGCCTGAGTACATTGGATACTTTTTCTTCTGTTCTTGAGATAATTTGCTAAGAAAAATATGTTTCAGCTCCATCCATGTAAGCATGAAAGAGATAACGTCTCCATCTTTTTTAAGGGTGCATAATATTCCATGGTGTACATACACCACAATTTATTAATCCATTCATGGGTCAGTGGGCACTTGGGCTTCTTCCATGACTTAGCAATTATGAATTGTACTGCAGTAATCATTCTGGGTACATATATCTTTGTTATAATGTGATTTTTGGTCTTCTGGATATATACCTAGTAGAGAAATTGAAGGATTAAATGGCAGGTCTATTTTTAGATCTCCCTATAGTGATCTCTAATCATCTTTCCAAAAGGAATGTATTAGTTTGCATTCCCACCAGCAGTGCAGAAGTGTTCCCTTTTCTCCACATCCATGCCAACATCTCTGGTTTGGGGATTTTGTGATGTGGGCTAATCTTACTGGAGTTAGATGATATGTCAAAGTGGTTTTGATTTGCATTTCTCTGATGATTAAGGATGATGAGCATTTTTTCATGTGTCTGTAGGTCGTGCGCCTGTCATCTTCAGAGAAATTTTTCTTCAAGTCTCTTGCCCACCCTGAGATGGGATCACTAGTTCTTTTCTTGCTAATAGGTTTGAGTTCTCTGTGGATTCTGGTTATTAAACCTTTGTTGGAGACATAACCTGCAAATATCTGCTCATATTCTGAGAGCTGTCTGCTTGCTTTACTTACTGTGTTCTTGGCTCTGTAGAAGCTTTTTAGTTTGATGAGGTCCCAGTAATGTATTTTTGGTGTTGCTTCAATTGCCTGGGGGTCCTCCTCATAAAATATTTACCCAGGCCAATTTCTTCAAGTGTTTTCCCTGCACCACCTTCTAGTATTTTTATAGTTTCATGTCTTAAGTTTAAATCTTTAATCCAGCGAGAGTCTATCTTAGTTAATGGTGAAAGGTGTGGGTCCAGTTTCAGTCTTCTACAGATCCCCAGGCAGTTCACCCAGCACCATTTGTTAAATAGGGAATCTTTTCTCCACTGAATGTTTTTAATTGGCTTGTGAAAGATCAAGTAATGGTAAGTAGCTGGGTTCATCTCTTGGTTCTGTATTCTGTTCCATACATCTACCTCTCTATTTTTGTGCCAGTACCATGCTGTTTTGATCACTGTCAATTTATAGTATAATTTGAGGTCTGGTAACATGATTCCTCCTGCTTTGTTTTTAGTTCTGAGTAATGTCTTTGCTATTCAAGGTTTTTTCTGATTCCATATAAAGCTAAGTATTATGTTTTTGAGATTTTTAAAGTATGACAGTGGAGCTTTAATAGGGATTGCATTAAAATTGTATATTGCTTTGGGTAATCTGGACATTTTAACAATGTTGATTCTTCCCAGCCATGAGCATCATATGTTTTTCCATTTGTTACATCTTTAGCTATTTCTTTTTAGAGTTTCATAGTTCTCTTTATAGAGATCTTTCACGTCCTTCGTTAGGTAAACTCCCAAATATTTTATCTTCTTTGGCACTACTGTGAACAGAATAGAGTCTTTGACTGTTTTTTTCAGCTTGACTATTGTTGATATATATAAAGGCTACAGATTTATGAGTGTTGATTTTGTAACCTGAGACGCTGCTGTATTCCTTGATCACTTCTAAGAGTTTTGTAATAGAATCCCTGGTGTTTTCCAGATATGCAATCACATCATCTACAAAGAGTGACAGTTTGACCCTTGATCACCTTTTCTTGCCTAATTGTGATGGCTAAGATTTCCATTACAATGTTAAAGAACAGTGGAGACAATGGGCAACCTTGCCTGGTTCTTGATCTGAGTGGAAATGATTTCAGTTTAACTGCATTCAATACGATATTGGCTGTGGGTTTGCTGTAGATGGCCTCTATCAGATTAAGAAATGAAATGTCCCTTCCATAACAATTCTTTTTTTTTTTTTTTGAGACATAATCTCTCATTTTGTTGCCCTTAGTAGAGTGCTGTAGTGTCACAGCTCACAGCAACCTCCAGCTCTTGGGCTTAGGCAATTCTCTTGCCTCAGTCTCCTAAGTAGCTGGGACTACAGGCACCCACCACAGTGCCCAGCTATTTTTTGGTTGTAGTTGTCATTGTTGTTGAGGCTATGGTGTATGTGGCTGGCACCTTAGCCACTTGAGCTACAGGCGCTGAGCCACAAATTCTACTTTAAACAAAAGCACAGTGCAGTATTGTCAAAACCTGATAACAGACTGGCATACTTGACACCCACAAACTCTTAGTAACCAGTGTGTGTGGCAGTTGTACTAGTCAGACAGAGGAAGTTAGAAGTAAATCATTAGTGTACCAGCCGCC